GGGTTCACCACACCTTCATCAGGGCCCTTGTAAACAGACGCCATTTAAAAAAAAACCGTGGGCCAAACTCCCGGGTGTTAGGGGCCTCAGTATTGAGTGAGCTACCAAGCCTGATGCACACAGCATGAGCTAACAGCACTGCTGTTCAGCTTGTGACCACAGCATCGCCTAAAAAGCCATAATATACTTGTTCATGCTATTATGTAGCGATGATATTATTACAGAAGACCTCTGACTGTGATAAAACTGACCAGGGTTCTGATAATAGCAGGATTGTGGTGATATTTATCGCTGTGCGCCATGGAGGGAAGGAGTAATGCTGTGGGAGGGAGGGTGGTGGCGATGTCTTCTGACTGTGTGTGGCCACCTTTTATTGACTGCACTCACCATACCAGCTTAGTGGTTCGCTATGGTGAACACAAATGTAGATACTTATATATAACGTGTGTATAGAGGGTATAAACAGCAAGAGGAGTAGGTTGGGAGCCGCCATTTTGATGAGAGCGGTGGCGTCGTCTGCACGATGCCACCGTGCAGATGATGGTGTTGTTTACTGGTTACCACGATGGTCTTTGGGCACCATACCAGTTTACTTGTACAAGTATGGTGAATAAAACAGGTAGATATTTATATATAATGTGTGTATATAGCGTAATAACACCACAAACAGTATTGTTAGAGGAGAAATATTAGTGCGTCTGGTCTTGAGGGTGGCAGCCATCAGCTGACTGTGTGAGGTCCTACGTCTTTGTGCCTTTACTCACCATACAAGCTTAGATGTACAGTTATGGTGAACAAAACATGTAAATACTTATATATAACGTCTGTATTTAAAAGGAAAAACAGTATGGTGGGTGGAGAATGGTGGCAAGTCAGGTGAGGTGAGGGAGGGAGGGAGTGGCAGCCAGTGGTGGGCTGCCACTGCCTGCCACTGCCACTGCCACTCAGCATACCAACTTAGTGGCTCGTTATGGTGAACACGAATGTAGATACTTATATATAGCGTCTGTATATAGTGAATAAAAGCAAAAACAGTATTGTGGGAGGAGAATGTGGGTGAGTCAGGTGACTTGAGGGAGGGCGTGAGTGGCTGGCTGGTACACAGCGGTCACTCCTCGTTACTTTTTGACTCATAATAGCAACTTAGTGGTTCGTTATGGTGAACAAAACATGCAGATACTTATATATAACCTGTGTATATAGTGTAATAACCGACAAAGTATTTGTTCACTGATTGATGAACATACTTGAATCAACAATATGCACACCATATTTTTGAGTACAGCGATGATTCACTCATTTTATTATATAAATATATCAAACTACACACTATTGAATAATATTACAGCAAAAAAACTATGAAAAATCAATCAGAGACATTGAAATAATTAGGTAATTATCTCTTTGTGGGAACTCCGGCCTGACAGCTGGCGACCAACAGACCGCCTGGGACGCACGCTGAGTCAGCGCCTGTTTTTTGCCAGACTTTCCTGCCCTATAGCAGGGAATATATGCCACTTACGATTTTTGTATTATTTTTCCCATGATCAGTGAACACAAATTAACAGATTAGCAAGTTTTTTTTTTTTTTTTTTTTTTTTTTTTTCAAAATTACATGCGCCTGTGGGGAACAAAGGATATTATACCCCTAGCATGTTAAGGGTTAAAGGTACGCTTGGCGCATCCGATCCTTCGATCATCACCACCCCTAAATCAACAACAACAACATAACTTAGATTCAAGGCCTCGTGATTTCCATAAAGATTAATTATTATGTGTTATAGTGGTGTATACAGGGATACTCCATAGTAATGTAGACTGAATTAATTGAAGCCAAGAGTGGCATATTCATAATAATTAGTGTACGAGGCTAGTGTTGTCAATGCTTTACATATGTTTATTCATTTTGGTTTAGTAAATTTAATTATTTTATACCGTGTACCTTATACTACCCGTGTAATTCTATGTTGTGCCATGCTACCTCATACACAGGTTAAGTAAATCAAGGCATTTAACAACAATAATTATATGCACTGTGTATTTATGGAAAGTACATACTGTACATATAAAATGAGTTACAAGAAGAATGTTGGATTTCTAGATAGAGCAAGTATATACTGTGCCTAAAGCCACTAATGTGCATAGCATTTACTGAATACTGAGCCAAATTGGAAATACAGTGGGGGCTCGATTTACGATGGTAATCCGTTCCCAGAGACGGATCATAAGTCGAAATATCGTAAGTCGAAGCGATTTTCCCATAAGAAATAAAGGGAATTGAATTAATCCGTTCCCCCACCCTCCAAAATATTAACTTACAAATACATTTTATACTGAATACAATTTTTTTCTCTAACTACAATACAGTACATATGTTTATCTTACCTGTATGGGGGACTCATGATGCGTATGGAAGATGGTGAGGAGGGGGAGAGGAGAGGTGTTACTGTTTGGAAGAGGAGTCCCCTTCCATTATAACATCAGGCAGTGAGGACTTCTCTGGGGTACACGCTCTGGCACGTTTTGCCTGCATACCACTAGGACCTGCTTCTGGCTCTCTGCTTGATTTTCTCACTAGAAATCGTTCCATTGAAGATTGTTTTTCCCTTGTGAAGGTAAAGCTTTGGTGTTCGGCTGTTTCAATAGCAGGGGGCAGGGCCTCGTCACATAAAAAAAAAAAAAAAAGAAGATCGTTTGCCCTTTTGTCTGTGGTAAGGTAATGGGAAGACACACAAAACACAAAGTATAAAAATGAAATTTTAATTACTCTAGAAAACAAGATATGAATAAAGACAATCTCTTGGCTTACGTAAAATTCATAACAAGTCAACAAACAAAACAACATGAATAATTAATGGCAGTAAAAATTTACTCTAAGACAATAAAGTGCAGGTAATAGTGATAGTAATATAAATCAAATCAGGTGCTGAGAATACTGGCTTCAAGCTGCCACCTCCCTTAGTACACGACAGCCAGAGCTTTGTCTACTATAGAGAGATGTCAACTCCAAGGAGCACAGGGATATTCTGAGGAGTACGGCGTGCTGCTGGCCCAGACGTCGACTCGGGTAGTGGCGTGTGTGCAGGTGCGGCGACACACCAGCCAATCAGGAACAGGCAGGCGGAGAATGGGTAGTTTGCTGGTTTGACGGCGGGCGGGAGCCAGTGTGTCTGGTGGTGCAAGGTACGCTTTGCTTCCTGGGAAAAACGTTTGGCGATACTGGTGGACGTATCTTCAATATAGTATCTTGTACTTGAATGACGTAAATTGTGTAGGGAAGAGCAGGCTCAATCTCTCTTGAAAGAGATTATCGTCACACCCTTCTTTCCAACACTTGTCTGTAGTGAGGCATCACATTGTCATTAAAAAGGTCAATGCAACGGGCTGTTACAGCTTTATCTGGATGATTCTTTTCAGCAAAACTTTGCTGTCCTTCCCATACTGCACACATTTTCTTAATTAATGAGGAAAGGACAACCTCTAATGCTGCCGCCACCGCCTATGAAGATTTATTGTACTGCCTAGCTAGTTCAACAACTCTAGTACCATTTTCATGTTTACATATGACCTCTTGTTTTTCCTCTATGGTCATTCTTACTTGTCTTTTCATATGTTGAACCTTACCACTGACTTTCTAGGGACCCATGGCATAATATATAATAATCAGTTTTATGTTCAAAACAAAAAAATCACCACAAAAACTAAATTTCTTATTGGAGTGATCATCACTAAGCGGGCAGCTCTAGTAAACTAAGGCAGGTCAGCCTGCGTGACCAGGAACCACAAGCTCGGTCGACCCAAACGTGTACCAACAAATATCGTAAGTCGAGTCACATTTTTCGATCAAATTTACATTGTTACTCAAATTTATCGTAAGTCGAGGTGCCACTGTATTAGAACACTGCTGAGAGATTATATACGTACGGGTTGACAAGAGTGAGGGGGGACTAGGCTAATAATAAGGACGGAGGTGGTCGTCGAGGCAACATTCTTTCAGGTAGTCTCAGTTCCGTACGCAGGCCAAGTTGTAGACCAGGAACCAGCAACGGTCCCTGGTCTACAATTGCAGTCTACAGTCTACAGTGTTGACAGTGTTACCAAAAGAGACGTGAGGTCAAGTGATTTTGGGGTAGCCTAGCCTCTCTAGTTTGTTTGGCAGTTGCTTTGAGGGCAGCTAGTGAGTCTATTCTGTAACACTGGGTGAGGTGGTGTGTGCCTCATCAGTGAAGTACTAGAGGCATAATCTGCTGCGAGGCATCCACAGTTATACATGCCCCATCACACTTCTCACTCTACTCTGCCACCCTCCAGGGGCAGTGAGTGGCTCTGGTAGTCCTCGGGGAACATGCTAGAAGCCCTGTGGTCTTTATGTGACATAGGGGAAAGTGTGGCTTGAATGGAGTCCTCAGTGTGGGCAAGGAAGCCATCTGAGAATAGATTCTGCAACACCCTCCATCAGAACACAAGCAGTCAATAAATGGAAGAATATTCGAGATTGGAATCAAGTCATCAGGAAGCTTCGTCCAGAAAGTAGAAGTGGAGAGAGAAGAAAGAAACATGAGGAAGAGAAAAAGACAAAATTAACAAAGAAGGCTGCAGGAGCTCAAAGCTCTAAAAGGACAGATGAATTGCCATCCTATCGAGCATTACACTGGTAGCCACCCACCATGCCCCCTCAAGCTGACAACGGTTAGACATTAAAGGGGGGAAGTGGTCACAAGGCATAGGTTCTTCTATCATATTAGATATATTTAATTATGTTATTTGGTGTGAGCAATGCATGCACTAGTGGTTGTAAATATTTCCATACAAATGTATTTTTAGTGGATGTTCACTTGTCTGTTTGTATTAGGCCAGGCTATTTAAAGTTAGAATAGATGCTCTCGTGCTTTTTAAACTTACATTGGCATGTCTATAACGTCAAAGTTTTATTTTTACTGTCATATTTGTGACACTATATTTTAAAGCAGTATATTACTTAAAAAACAATTTCTTTATAGGAAGCTGATCGGATTTTGAAAAAGGCAAGCAAGACTCACAAAGAAAAGGTAGAAGACTTCAATCGTCACTTGGACTCCCTCACAGAACACTTTGATATCCCTAAAGTGTCATGGACTAAGTGAAGCATACATGTCTATTTGGTTTCACATAGTGTGATATTTAGTATAAGGTTTATTTTAAGTTCTTCTCTATTTGTCAAATAAATGTTTGTACACTCACTTAATTGTGTTTGTGAGGGTTGAACCTCAGCTCTTTGGTCCCACCTCTCATCTGTCAACTGGTGTACAGTGTGGGAAAATTTGACTCCAATAATTTGTAATTAAAATGAATAATTCGAGCGCTGTGAAGGACCACCACTTTTTGAGAAAAAGTGGAAAACAAAATGAGACAATGGATTAAACTGATACCAAGAACTAGTGTCCTATGGATCTTAGTGAAACTGTATTTCTTATGTAAAGGGAGTCAAATTAACTTGCAAAAAAATGGGGGGTTCAAGTGCTAAGATACAATTAAGTTCTAGCACCTATAATCCGATGCTGGTTCATTCGTCAGAAAGAAATGTATATGCATAAATTTATATCATAGTTCATATATAAATCAAATAGGAAATTGTTGGTAAATAATATGATTTCCTAAATGGCAGGTAAATGGTGATTTAAGAGAAAATCATTCATGTAACAAAATATTAGTGTATTTAATACTACACTACTAGAAATCAAGTCACCTTAGCTGTAAATTCTAGAAAGGCCTAATTTGTTGTCACGATCCACCGACGACGTGTTGCCTCAAGCAAATTGTTGCACGTGGAGGTAGAGGAGCCTAATACCTCGGTTGTCATGGACCCGGAGCTGGAAGGCAATTACACTGTAGAATTCCACTAATTGGTAACTAAAAGTACATCTTGAATTATGAAATATCTTCCTACAGAATGTAATTATTACTGCAGAAATCTTGAGTAAATAACTATGCAATTTATATTCCAACAAAAGGCGGAATAAATTTGGAGATTCAACGTACAGTACTGGATTTTGTTGTTAATCACACAGCCTAATGACAATTAGTCTAAATATAAACATATGCACAATATTATAGTTTAGAAAATTATTAGTTGCCGGGACGAGTGTCCATTGATGTAGGAACGATTCCAGATCCCTTGTCCTCAGCTGCCATGATAAGACGTTACTTGTTGGTTGGAGTAATTATTAGTTCCTAGGACACTGCCGTTATGTGTCAAGTAACGTGGCACCGCTCTGCTAGTCGTGGAAGCAAAATACAAACTGTTAGCAAGATCGAAATGTAGATCTCTGTGCTCATTGCTAATGGCGTCTGAGTCGCGTGGTGGATGGCGACATTCTAGCGTCTTCTTCCTCTTCCCGATTGCGCATGTGCGGCTCTCGATAGACATCTTGAGCATATATGGATTAATATATATCGGAATTAACTAAGAAGAGATGGTGACGAGTATTGATGTCACATTTAGTTCTTCCGTGTTAAAATATAACTTCGCGTAACATAAATTGGGTTTATTAAAGTCACGCAGCTAATCGAGGAAATTAAAGTGAAATCGTTTACATTAAATAATTTCCTCTAGAATGTTTAATATCAACTAAATAAAGGAGTTCCAGTAAGCAGTAGTATGCTACGAAAATAAACTTATAAGTAAATAACTATTTTTAGTAAAGGAATTAATAAATTGAACTGTTATAAATCCAACTAAATGTGGAAAGAATTCATGTTTCTACCTGTCGTTCCTCGCGTCATCACTCTGACTAGGAAGAATCTGGTAATGTGGTTATTATAAATCATGATGATGATTAAATCTACAAGTTAGTGATTTTAGTAACTACTTGTGGTTAATACAAAGGTTGTATAAAAATACAAAGGATGTATGAAACTGTTGGTTATTTCCAACATACAGGTTTCTGAGCCAGTTGAGCTCTAGTATATCTACATTTGAAACTGTGTATGGAGTCTGCCTGCATCACATCACTGCCTAGTGCATTCCATCTGTTAACTACTCTGACACTGAAAAACTTGTTTCTAATATCTCTGTGGCTCATTTGGGTACTCAGTTTCCACCTGTCCCTGTGTGTCAGTGCACCTGTGTTAAATAGTCTGTCTTAATCTACCCTGTCAGTTCCCCTGAGAGTTTATGTGATAATTATGTCACCCCCTTATGCTTTGGTTTTCCAGTGATGTGAGGTTAAATTCATGCAACCTTTCCTTTTAACTCATACCTCATAATTTAGGGACTAGTCTGGTGGCTTGCCTTTGAACCTTCTCCAAATTCATCTTGTGCTTGATGAACCACATACTCCAGGCTTGATATGACGTATGTTATATACAATGTTCTGAATGATTCCATAAACAAATGTCTAAAGGCAGTTCTTTGTGTGTGTACTCGCCTATTTGTGCCTGCAGGATCAAGCTCTAGCCATTCGGCCCCGCTTTTCTAGCTGTTGGTTGTCTAATGCAGTGACTCCTAGCCCATTTCCCTATCATACCTGCTTTTAAAGTCATGAATAGAATTTGCTTCTACAACCTGCTCCTTTAGGTCATTCTATTTACTCACTACCCTTATGCTAAACAAAAATTTCTAACATTTCTATGATACATCTGTGTCTCAAGCTTCCATCTGTGCCAACTTGTTTTGTTGATATTCATTGTAAACATTTACTCTGTTTCCACCCTGTCAATCCCTCTAAGTATTTTATACATCTGTATCATGTCACCCCTCTCCCTCCTCCTTTCTAATGTTGTCAGGTTTAGTTCCTTCAGTCTCTCTTTGTTCCTCATCCCTCGCAGCTTTGGGACGAATCTCTCTTTTTGCAAATGTCTGCACCTTTCATTGTGTGTGTGTGTGTGTGTGTGTGTGTGTAATTACCTAAGTGTAGTTACAGGATGAGAGCTACGCTCGTGGTGTCCCGTCAACCCAGCACTCTTTGTCATATAACGTTTTGAAACTACTGACGGTTTTGGCCTCCACCACCTTCTCACTTAACTTGTTCCAACCATCTACCACTCTGTTTGCAAAAGTGAATTTTTTTATATTTCTTCGGCATCTTTGTTTAGTTAGTTTAAATATATGACCTCTTGTTCTTGAAGTTCCACGTCTCGGGAAATCTCCCCTATCGATTTTATCAATTCCTGTTACTATTTTTTACGTAGTGATCATATCACCTCTTTTTCTTCTGTCTTCTAGTTTTGGTATATTTAATGCCTCTAACCTCTCCTCGTAGCTCCTGCCCTTCAGTTCTGGGAGCCACATAGTAGCATGTCTTTGCACCTTTTCCAGTTTGTTGATGTGCTTCTTAAGATATGAGCACACTACAACCACTGCATATTCTAGCTTTGGCCTAACAAAAGTCATGAACAATTTCTTTAGTATTTTGCCATCCATGTATTTAAAAACAATTCTGAAGTTAGAAAGCGTGGCATAGGCTCCTCGCACAACATTCTTTATGTAGTCCTCAGGTAATAGTTTTCTATCTAGAACCACCCCTAGATCTCTTTCTTTATCAGAATTATTAAAGATTTCTCACATAATTTATAGGTTGTGTGGGATCTATGTTCTCCTATTCCACATTCCATAACATGGCATTTATTCACATTAAATTCCATTTGTCAAGTGGTGCTCCATATATTTATTTTGTCCAGGTCTTCTTGAAGGGCATGACAATCGTCTAAGTTTCTTATCCTTCCTATTATCTTAGCATCATCAGCAAACATGTTCATATAATTCTGTATTCCAACTGGTAGATCATTTATGTAGACAATGAACATCACGGGTGCAAGAACCGAGCCCTGTGGTACTCCACTTGTGACATTTCTCCAGTCAGATACATTACCTTCGATTACTGCCCTCATTTTTCTATCAGTCAGAAAATTTTTCATCCATGTTAGAAGCTTACCTGTCACCCCTCCAATATTTTCCAGTTTCCAGATCAACCTCTTAAGTGGAACTCTGTCAAAAGCCTCTTTTAGGTCCAGATAGATGCAGGCAACCCAACCATCTCTCTCCTGTAAAATCTCTGTGGCTGGATCATAGAAACTGAGTAAATTCGATACACAGGATCTTCCAGATCGAAAACCATACTGTCTGTCTGATATTATATCATTTCTCTCAAGGTGTTCCACCCATTTAGTTTTTATTATTTGTTTTTTTCCAATATTTTCACTATTACACTTGTCAGTGATATAGGTCTACAATTGAAGGGGGTCTTCCCTGCTGCCACTCTTGTAGATTGGAACTATGTTAGTCTTTTTCCACACGTCTGCTACGACTCCTGTACACAGGGATGCCTGAAAGATCAGGTGCTGAGCTCAGATGCACATTCTCTCAGGACCCATGGTGAAACTCCATCTGGGTGTGTGTGTGTGTGTGTGTGTGTGTATTTATTGGAATGTAAGTTGGTGTGGATGAGTGGGTATGATTTAACCTTAAATGTTAAAACTGATTAAATATTTAAAAATACTGTATATCCATTGTTTTCAATCTTTAATGCCTCATTCTCAAAATTTTCCTTTAAGAGATTGTCCATGTGAAATCTCAAAATATTTTGATAGCTTTCAAGTGTTTAGCCCCCTCCAAAGTGTCACCTTGTCATTGTGAGGGGGTTAATATATGACTTCCTGGGTGTCGTATACCTAGGAAGTCTCTCTGTGTATAGAGAGACTATACCTCTCTCTCTGGATGTTGTACGTGCTAAGGTACACACCTGTAGGGAGCTTGTTCATGTCAATATACCTCCTGCTGGAGGGGCTGCCCTTGGTGGATGGTTGGGTGTCCAGGCTGAAGTGAAAGGGAGAAAAAGGTCTTTGCACCAGTGTGGAATAATGTATAAGGCAGTGGGACTTCATGTTAAAAAGAGTACCTCTAGGGACAACGCACCCCTTCCTGAACTGGCCAGTACTTGGCTGCCCAAGTAAGTGGTATTCCTTGGCTCCAAGACCCAAACCTTTGAAATTAATGCTGTATGGATACCAAACTGACTTCACATACACAGGCTTATGGGGTGTACGACCAGACCCCCCGAGTCGGCCGGTGAAGGAAGACAAGGCTCCATGGCCCTGGCTACGTTGGGCCCAGACCAGGCTTTTTTGTTCACTGTCCTAACTGACGCTCTCTACTCCACTCCCACTTCCATGGCAGGGTTCAGCCCCAATCCCTCCAGTGGTGACCTCGTTGTCTGGAGTGGCTGCATCTGTTGTGATGACG